CTGGAATTACCAGCCCAAATCACACCAAACCTGCTTCCAGGGTCTTCATGGGCCTCTTCACCTGATTCATTCTCTGGGTTTGCACTCCCCTAGGCCAAGGGACAGCTGTTTGCAGGAGCAGTGGGGATGGAGATTGAGTATGTGTACTGGGGTGTCTATGCACATGCATTTGAGGCACTCTTGATACAGGATGGTGGGAGGATGGGAAGAGAAGGGGGGCAGGCTTCCAGCTGGTGGAGGAAGAGGGGCACAAAGATTTGGGGCGAGCCCAGCTGAAGGAATCCATTTCTCTGCACATCTGGAACTTAATCACAGTGCATGCCAGTCAGGAAACTTTGGACCAGGCATCTTCTATTGTGACTTACAATGCTTTGAATTCTGACTTCTATCCCATGGCCATGGTCGAGAGCCTGCACTTTGCAGAGCAGGTGGGTGACACGTGGACATGTGTGTCCTTTGGATCATTACCCCCTCAGCTGCGTTGGGACTGCTGCCTCATTAGTTCTGCTCCTTCCTCCCTTAGTATATCAGATACACTGTGCCTGCCTCATGGCAAATAATTTCTCAACACTCTGGGAAAGGATTTTGTTTGTTTTCTTTAAGTTTCGTTGAAAGCAAACCTAGGCTATCACCCCAAAAGTAAGATAGGCAAATGACTTGACAATTATAAAACACATACACGCAATTAGCCAACAGGCACGTAAATATCTCTAGTAAATTAAGAAGTATAAACCAAAGCGATGAGATAATTTATTTTGCCTCTTAAATTGGCAAAGATAAGAAGCAAGAAAACGTTCAGTGTTTGTGAGGGTTTTGGGAACATTGCCATTTCATATACTGTTAGCAGAAGGGCAATAGGGTGATTGGAGAAAGACTTATAGAGATAAATCTGGCAGTGAATTGCAAAAGACTTTAAAATGTGTATATCTTTTGAAATCTTGAAGACATTGTTGCATACTTCCCTTACATCTGTTAGTTGCTGATGAAAAGCCTGATGTCAATCTCATTCTTGATTTTTTTCCCTCTTCTGAAACTTTTGTTATCAATGACATTCTGAAATTTCACTAAGATCTCTCTGGGTTGCGTTTTTCTTTTTATTTGTCCTGCCAAGTGCTTGGTAGGCTATTTCATATACATTTTTAAAATTTTATTGAAGTATAGTTGATTTACAATGTTGTGTTAATTTCTGCTGTACAGCAAAATGACTCAGTTATACATATCTATTCTTTTTCATATTCGTTTCCATTATGGTTTATCACAGGATGTTTAATATAGTTCCCTGTGCTATAGAGTAGGACCTTGTTGTTTATCCATTCTATATATACTAGTTTGCATCTGCTAATCCCAAACTCCCAATCCTTCCCTCCCACACCTCTCCTCCCCCTTGGCAACCACATGACTGTTCTCTATGTCTGTGAGTCGGTTTCTGTTTCATAGATATGGTCACTTGTGGGGTATTTTAGATTTCACATATAAGTGATATCGTACGATATTTGTCTTTCTCTTTCTGACTTCACTAAGTATGATAATCTCTAGGTCCATCCATGTTGCCATTATTTCATTCTTTTTTTATGGCTGAGTGACATCCCACTGTATATATATATGTCACATCTTCTTTATTCATCTGTCGATGGACGTTTAGGTTGTTTCCATGTCTTGGCTATTATAAATAGTGCCACTGTGAACATGAGTGCATGTATATTTTTGAATTATAGTTTTGTCTGGGTATATACCCAAGATTGGGATTGCTGGATCACATGGCAACTCTATTTTTAGTTTTTTGAGGAACCGCTGTACGATTTTTCATAATGGCCGCACCAATTTACATTCCCTTGGTAGGCTATTTCAATTTGGGCTTTCATGTCTTTCTTCAGTTCTGAGAAATACTTAGTATTATTTCTGTGAGTATTGCTTCTGCTCAATTTTTTTCTGTTCCTTCTTTCTGGAACTCCTCTTAGATTAAGGTTGTAATTTCTGGATTTCTATCCTGTGTTTCTTTCTTTTTTTTTTTTTTTTTTTTTTTTTTTTTTTGAGGTACGCAGGCCTCTCACTGTTGTGGCCTTTCCCGTCGCGGAGCACAGGCTCTGGACGCGCAGGCTCAGAGGCCATGGCTTACGGGCCCAGCCGCTCTGTGGCATGTGGGATCCTCCCAGACCGGTGCACGAATCCGTGTCCCCTGCATCGGCAGGCAGACTCTCAACCACTGCGCCACCAGGGAAGCCCTATTCTGTGTTTCTTAATGTGTTTTTCATACGTTCACTTACCCCTTCCAGGAGAGTTCCTTGGCTTGCTCTTCCAGTTCACCAAATTGCTCTTTAACTGTGCCTGTCCTGCTATTCAGCTTCTCTATTGAGTTTTTAAACTTCATTTCAACAGTTAAAACTATTATTTCAGGGGCTTCCCTGGTGGCGCAGTGGTTAAGAATCTGCCTGCCGATACAGGGGACACGGGTTCAATCCCTGGTCCGGGAAGATCCCACATGCTGCGGAGCAACTAAGCCCGTGCGCCACAACTACTGAGCCTGTGCTCTAGAGCCCGTGAGCCACAACTACTGAAGCCTGCGCACCTAGAGCCCGTGCTCTGCAACAAGAGAAGCCACCGCAATGAGAAGCCCACACACCACAATGAAGAGTAGCCCCCGCTCCCCGCAGCTAGAGAAAGCCCACGCGCAGCAACGAAGACCCAACACAGCCAAAACTAAATAAATTTTTAAAAAGCCGAAACTATTATTCCAAATATTTCTGATTGAACCTTTTTGGTCACTCTTGTCCTCATATTATCTTCCCTTATTTTTCTGAGCAGATTAAATACACTTACTTAAAATTCTGTGCTACATTCTGTATTAATTCCATTTCCTTTGAGGTCTCCATTATAGAGTCTGTTGTCTCTCTTTTTTGGTGTTGACCTTCTCCAACTGTTTGTATATTCTTATTTTTGTACTAATTTCTGTCACTGAAATTTCCTGTTACAACATCAGCTGCATCTCTTTAAGAAGCCAGCTTGGAAGGCAAGGATGGAAACAACTATTGGCTTACTCTACTGGTACTGTTTTCAGACAGCAAGGCTTCTTGGCATGACTTTTCTCTTTCTCTCAGGTGTCACTAGCCCCTGAGAGCACTGCCCTTCTCTCTGAGCCAAGGCCCTCTCTGTGCTGTTTCTACTCAACTATACTTCTGACACCAAATGTGTGGGTTTTTATCCCCCAAATCAACCAATTCTCCAACTCTCCAGACACCAACTGGGTGTCCTACTACTCAATTCAATTCTGACACTCTCTGGGGTTAGCACAGACCCCCAGGTTAAGGGCCCAGTCCCCCAAGACTGCCTCTCCTCCACTTCAGACACCAGTTGCAAGTCCCAGGCTGCCACCTGTACTTCGACCAGCTGGCTATAAATCAGGGTTCTCATACCCCCTCCTCAGGTTCAGTAATATGCTAGAATGACTCACAGAACTCAGGAACACTTTACTTATGTATACCAGATTATTGTAAAAGATATTATAACTGATACAAATGAACAGCCAGATAAAGAGGTACAAGACCTCCAAAAGAGTTCCAAGTGCAGGAGCTTCTGACAAGCTTCTGACTTCATGGAGTTGGCGTGTGCCACCTTCCCAGCACATATATGCTTTCACCAACCTGGAAGCTCCCCCAAACGTTGTCACTTAGGGATTTTTATGGAGGTTTCTTCGTGAGGCATCGTCAGTTACTAACTCAATCTGCAGCCCCTCTCCCCTCCCCAGAGGTTAGGAGGTGGGGCTGAAAGTTCCAAGCTCCTAATCAAGGTTAGGTCTTCCTGGCAACCAGCCCCCATCTGAAGCTATCTAGGGCCCACCAGGAGCTGCCTTGTTATAACAAATAGGGCTCCTCTGTGTCCTATCACTCATGAAATTCCAAGGAATTTGGGAGCTCTGTGTCACGAAGTGCGAGCAAATACCAAATGTTGTAACAAAATATGCTGCTGTCACCCCTGTTACTCAGGAAATGGCAAGAGTTTTAGGAACTCTATGCCAGGAACTGGGGACAAAGACCAAATATGTATTTCTTTTTATATCACAATGTCCTACCCTCACAGACTGCTCCATCATTGCCGCCTGGCCTCAGCTGGTGGAGGAATAGAATGACTGACCTACCTGGCTGCCCTTGGCCTCCCTGTGGCCATGACAGAGCCTCTACTGGCTTCTCGTCTCCCACTTGGCACTCGCCCTCACGCTCCCTGGACCGTGTTTTATCTTTTCAATCAGATACTCTTTATCCATGAATTTCTCTCTGTAGTCCTCCTCTTGCTTGTTTTTGGTTTTTTTTTGGCCATGCCACGTGGCTTGTGGGATCTCAGTTCCTTGACCAGACCAGGGGTTGAACCCATGCCCTTGGCATTGTAAATGCAGAGTCCTAACCACTGGACTGCCAGGGAATTCCCTCCTCTTGCTTTTCAATTAGGCTATATTTAAACTTCATTCTATCATTTCTTGGCATTTCATGGAAGGAACACATGCTCAGTCCAATACCTTGAGGTGGAATTATGTAAAAAACGATATATAAACTTCAAACCAGTAACCCACCTCTAGGAATTTATCCTAAGGAAGTAATTAAGAATAAAGCTTTAACCCCAAGGAGTTTCATCATAGTAACATTTGATATGAAAAAGTGAAAACAGATATCCAATTAGAGGGGTTTAATTAAATAAATGGTGACACATCCATACAATGACAGAGTAAGTATGTGAAAAATAATATGACAGAATATTTAAGGGTATAGAAAAATGTCATTGATGTATTAAGTAGAAATTTCAGGTTACAAAATTATTTTAAAGTCTCATTTTTGTAAAAAAAAAAAAACACCACACATGTTCTTATAGAAAATGGTAGCTCTGCATGGTGGGATTTCTGCTTGACTTTTTTTTCTTGTTTTTGGCTGTCTTTTTTTCCACACTCTTGGAGATTGTTTTCAGTAACTGCTATGTGCAAGACTCTAGTCGCATCCTCTGCTTCCCTCCCCCAGGTGGGCTGGAAGATGGCATGTCCTCCAACAGTGTGCCCCGATCGACAGCCCCAAGTGGAATATCCAACCCAGAGAAGAAGATGAGCTGTGGGACCCAGTGCCCAAATCCCCAGGGCCTCAGCTCAGGCCCCCTGACCCAGAAACAGAATGGCCTCCGGACCACAGAGGTAGGTCGCAGCCACAGAACAGACTTGGGACCGGAGACAGGGGGAGAAGGTTGCTTCAGGGCAGAGCCAAGCTGAGACAGCACCCAGGGAAGGAGCGGTGACAGCTCACCTTGCCAAAGGAAATTCTCCACCCACCCGTGTGAAAATTGTTGCAAAGAAAATAGCAAGGCTCCCCCTCCCACCCCCTGCCTTGAGGGTTGCTGTGTTTTGTTGAATCAGCGGAAATGGGTCCTTGTTATTAGCGCTCTAAAGGAAGTGTGTGTTTGTTTAAATACAGCTTTGTTCAAGGACCTCCTTTGCTGTCGCAGCTCTCAGCATCTTGATAGTGAGGTCTCTACTGGCTACGGGAACTAGTCTCAGGCCAGGCAGTCGGCCATCGCAGGGGTTGGCAGGGAAGAAAACCAGCGTGGTGGGAGACAAGCCTGGTGTTCTACCTCACACCCTCCAACCAGGTGGGCAGTGGGAGGGTCTGCAAGGGGGGTTCTTGTTGCAGAATGTGGTGACAGCATCACCCCACACTATTGCTGTTGGAGATGAGGCAGGGCTACGGAGTCCCTGGACCTACCTGGCATCCTGTCTGATTCTTTCTTTTCTCTCCTGCTGTCCCGACTGCTCCTTAGCAGACCAGCGCAGCCGTCTGCCGTTCCTCCCTCATCTTCCCCATCCCCTCTAGCTCCCACCTTCAAAGTCCACTACTTACCCAATACTCCAAATCCATTTTTCCCCTCTCCCCTGTCAAAACTTACTGGTCCTGTCCCTCAGGCCAGCGCCGTCTGTTTTCGAGGATCCAGCTGGGTTATCTAATGGTGGAATTCTTGCCCACATCAGTGAGTTCCCTTTCTAATCTTTGGTCAGAAAACCTGTTGCAAATTCAATTAAGTAAGTAGCTTTGCAGGAATCACTCAGTCTCCCAGAGTCTCAGGTTCTTTATCCACACAATGGAAATAGTACCAAGATGAGAGAACAGATGGGCCTGTTCTTTGTGAACTGAGAGGTGCTGTGAGAAAGGCAGTAAGGCACCCAGCACCACAAGCCAATTAAAGGAAACACTGATGGTGGCTCTTCAGACATGTAGGAGGTCATGGGTGGGGGGTAGATCTGAGGGCAGCAGTGGCCTTCCTGGTGTCCTGTATTGCCTGCTTTGTCTGTGCATAAGCTGGCCTTCTAGAGGCCCAAGCATCATTGCCATCTCCCAAGGCAGTCTGGGCCCCACAGAACTATGCTCAGAAGCTTGGTCATTGCTCTAGGGCAGGCCCTGACTTTTGTACCCTAACCTCCTCCCCACACTGTGCCCTCACCTTTTGAGCCAAGATGTTCCATGAATGGGAGGAAGTGGCTTTGCCTGTCACATGCTTGCTTTCCAACCTCACTTCCGTCATCCATCACTTTCAAGTTGTGTTCTGCAATTTACAAAGTGCTTTTAGTTCTAGTGGCTCATTGAATCCTCCCAAGAGCATGTAAAGTAAGCGTCATCCCATTTCAAAGACAAGGAAACTGAGATGCACTTGATTGATGACATGAATAGGTCATATAAGTGCTAGAGATGAGTGTTGGTAACTTTAAATTGAAACAGGTGACTATTAGAAAAGTGGAGCGTAGAGATCTTAAAGTACTTTTTTTGTCAGAGAATAATGTATTAGTCAGCTAATGCCACAATAATGCTGCATGACAAAGCAAATCAACATTCAGTGGCTTAAAACAACCATCTTTTTCTCCTCACAATCAGCCACAATTTGAATGGCTAGGCCTGACTTCAGGCTCCAGGCTCCAGGTCTAGCTCAGTCTGTTCTGTGTATTTTATTCTGTGAATCAGGCTAAAAGAGCAGCAGCTCTCTGAGGTATATTATCATGGCTATGGCAGATAGCCCAAGAGGGCAAACGCATTTCATGTCTCTGCTCACACCATACCATCTAACCCCCTATTGGCCAAACCCAACATCAGTAGGACAAGGCAGTGTGCTCTGTCCCCAGTAGAGAGACAGCAAAGGATTAGGGGCAATAGTGCAATCTACCACTTATAACATATATATAGAAAAATGTACAAGTCTGTCATAAGTCCAATGAATTTTAATAAGGTGACACACCTGTGTAGCCATCTTCCATATGGAGACACAGAACAGTATCACTACTCCAGAAATCCCCTGTGTGCCCCTCACCACGGTGACTGGGATGTGCCAGTCACTGTCCACACCCCAACAATATAACCACTGTCCTGACATCTAGCATCACAGATCACTTTTGTTTATTTTTGACTTTTATAGATGGCATCATACAGTATTTGCTCTTTTGTGTCTGGCTTCTTTTGTTCAACATTATGCTAGTGAGAATCATGCATGTTGTTGTGAGTTGCAAAAATTTCCTCATTTTCATTGCTATGTATATTTCATTAAATGAATATACCACAATTTAACCCTTCTACTTGAAGGACATTTGGGTTGTTTCCAGTTTGGGGCTATTGTGAACAATATAGCTGTTAACATTCTTGTACCCTTAGGTGGACATTCACTTCTCTGGGGAATATATATATATACCCAGGAGTAGAATTCCTGGCTCATAGGATGGGGATATATTTGGCTTTAATAGATACTGACACAGTTTTCCAAAGTGGTTATACCACTTTACATGCTGACGGGCAGCAGATAAGTTCCAGTTACGGACCATAAGAATTTAAGGCCAGTAAGTCGTGCTTAGTCCTGTCTTTCTTAGGCCCGTGAGAGCAGCCTTCTAGGTGCCGCCGGGGGTGCTAAGCACTTCCTTGTATTATCTCACTTGATCCTCACAATGACTCTACAGTGTGATATTGTTGTCTCCAGTTCACAGATAAGAATGGAGACTCAGGCGGCTCAGGAAAGCTCTCTGCACACCACACAGGCGTGCACTCTGGGAGCTTGTGTGGTAGTTAAAATGGGGCCGGGTGGAGCCAGCCCGCCTCGGACTCCAGCCACAGTGAAAACTGTGTCGCAGGGGAGTGAGGACCACGCACCTCACCAACACAGCACCAGGGGGCAGATGCCACACTGATAAGCTGGTCACAAAACCAAATGTGAAATTTTGTTTTCACGATTCAGTGAACAATGCTGTGTTGTAAGTATTTCCAAAATAAGATCAGGGAGCGGATAGCTTCAGTTTTAAGCATTCAGACAATTGCTGAAATGCATCAGGGGTCTTCCTGTCCTGAGACCTCACCAGCCACCAGGCATCCTAACTTCCTCAAAGGCAAAGGTTTCTACTTAAGGTGTCAGCTTACAAGACAAGTCAACCTCTGATTGAAGCTTCTGTCAGCAGAGCTATCTCGTACCAACACAGATCTCAGCTGCCTAGAATCTGCCTAAGGAAAATAATTTTCTTCCTATTCCGTCCAGGGCCTTTGACATACTGTCTCTTCCTAGCTTGTTTCATACTCCAGGCTAGAGCTTCCTGCGTTTTCTGTGCCTGGCTCAGGCAGCGTCTGGCTCACCTCTTCTGGTCCGCCTTTGCTCCCCCCAGGATGAACTATTAGCACCTCACCGCGTTCCCCTGGACATCATCGGGCCACTGGCTGATGGTTCTTGGGCACTTTTTTAAAAGCTTTCCTTCTCCAGAAGAACCCGTTCATAAAGCATGCATCCTCATGCACGTGTCTACACAGTGTTCCCGTTCCGATTTTTTTTTTTTTTTTTTTTTTTGGGTTTGGGGGCCTCTCTCTTTTGTGGCCTCTCCCATTGCGGAGCACAGGCTCCGAATGCGCAGGCTCAGCGGCCATGGCTCACGGGCCCAGCCGCTCCGCGGCATGTGGGATCCTCCCGGACCGGGGCACGAACCCGTGTCCCCTGCATCGGCAGGCGGACTCTCAACCACCGCGCCACCAGGGAAGCCCCCGTTCAGATTTATAGACCAAGTTTGTCCAGTCACTGGGCCTGGAAGATTTCCTCATCAGGTCCTATAAGCACTCTTTGGATTCCTTCATCTAATGTTCGTCCACTGAGTGCCATCTGGGTGCCAGGCACTGTTCTGATGCCAAGGATCCAAGAGTGGAACAGGCACACATGCCCTTTGCTCTGAAGCAGTTGCCAATTTTTTTTTTCTTTTTTGATGTTCTAGAAAGGCGCGATTTAATAAAATAGAGTCCTTGGTCTCAAGGAGTTCACAGTCTAGTAGAAGAGACATAGCAGTGGATACACTATTATAACACAGTGTGGTAAGTGCTGTTATACAGGGGGTCATGTGATGCTGAGGGAACCCCCAGGAGGGGCATCTCTTGTGTGCTCAGTACAGCGCCTGGCACTTAGCAGGGGAGCAACAAAAGTCTGTCAAGGGATTGAATGAATAAACCCAACCTGGATGTCAGAGAAAGCTTTCTGGGGGAAGAGAAGCCATATCTGAGAGCAGGAGAAGGAAGGGGGAGGGCTAGCCAGGTGAAAGTGGTGGACTAGGGTTGGGACGAAGGGGCACGTGATATAGCAGCGGGATGTGCCTTGAACTCTCCCAGGTTCTGGAACATGTGCCCAGCTCAGGATGTTGTGCATAGTAGGTGCTCAGTGAAACCACGGGGACCCTGTAGGGTCTTCTATTCAGGCCTCTGTTGTGCAACTTCAGGAAGCAGCTTCTACCACTCCCTTGCACTGTGTGCACAGGGCAGTCACAGCCTGCAATGCAGGTGCTGCCTTTGGAGTTGAGCAATGTGGTGCTACTTCCTCGGAATCCAGATGTCTCTGTCTGTCCTTTTTGATGCTGTCATCTGGTTCCACCGTGCTTAGTCTCCCTGTTTTCTGCAGTCTTCTCAGTACACACCCTTTGCTCCTGCAAAGCCAGCAGCTGCCAATTTTAATGGCGCTGAGCCTGGGGAGGCAGATAATACAGAATAAATGAAGATAGATTTGAAATGGTGCTGCGAAGGAAAGAGAAGGCCCCTGGAAGGGGATAGAAGCTACTCGATTTAACATAGATGTGGTCCACAGTTCAGAGCACTTTCCAAAGGGCCACGAGGGGCAACTGGCTTTGCTGATGCCTGGGAGCAGCTG